CATTCTTTAAACCTTCACATGAGACTATGACATATTTTCCCATTACAGTATTTTCTCAATAAGTGCAGACAATGACTGATATACATGTGTTGAGGACATCGTTGACTCCACCCACACTGAAAATTAGACATTTTTACTGTACCAATTATGAGATATTTCAAATTAAAACTCATACATTTGAATTGAGAAAATATCTAATAAATGAATATTTGAAGTGTAATAAAAACAGTTTTCTCAATAATTCCAGACAATGATTGACATGTATGTGTTGAGGACATCGTTGACTCCACCCATACTGAATATTAGATATTTTTACTGTACCAATTAAGAGATATTTCAAATTAAAAGTCATACATTTGTACCCAGAAACGGGTACATTTCTGAATATTTGAGGTGCTATAAAAAGTATTTTCTCAATAATTCCAAACAATGACTAATGCATATAAGTTGAGGAAATCTCTGACTACACATATACAGAAAATTAAACATTTTTACTGTGGTAATTAAGAGATTTTTTAAAGTAAATGTCCTACATGTGTTCCAAGAAATATCCAATAACTGAATATTTGAAGTGTTTCCTCAATAATTCCAAACAATGGTTAATGTATACAGGTGCATCTCACTGAATTAGAATATCATCGAAAAGTTAATTTATTTCAGTAATTCAATTCAAAAAGTAAAACTCATATATGATATACTGTAGATCCATTACACACAAGGTGATATATTTCGAGTGTTTATTTCTTTTAATGTTGATGATTATGGCTTACAGCTAATAAAAACCCCAAATTCTGTATCTCAGAAAATTAGAATATTGCATAAGACCAATTTAAAAAAGGTTTTTTAATACAGAAATGTTGGCCTACTGAAAAGTATGTCTATGTACAGTATAAAGTATGTACTCAATACTTGGTCGGGGCACCTTTTACATGAATTACTGCATCAATGCGGCGTGGCACGGAGGCGATGAGACTGTGGCACTGCTGAGGTGTTATGGAAGCCCAGGTTGCTTTGATAGGGGCCTTCAGCTCATCTGCATTGTTGGGTCTGATGTATCTCATCTTCCTAAGCCATAGCCTAATCATCAAAATTAAAAGAAATAAACACTCGAAATATATCACACTTTCAATGATATTCTAATTCATTGAGATGCACCTGTATACATCAATCATTGTTTGGAATTGTTGAGGGAATACTTTTTATAACACTTCAAATATTCAGAAATTACCTGTTCCTCGGTACAGATGTATGACATTTACTTTTAAATATTTCTTAATTGGTACAGTAAAATTGTTTAATTTTCAGTATGGGTGGAGTCAAAGATGTCTTGAACAGATATGCATCAGTCATTATCTGGAATTATTAAGAAAACCCTTTTTATAGCACCTTAAATATTAAGAAATGAACTTTTTGAACGTTCAAAAGAAGGACTTATATTTTGGAAAATCTCTTAATTGGGAAAGTAAAAATATTTGATTCTCAGTATTAGTATAGTTAGAGATGTCATGAACACATATGCACTAGTCATTGTCTGGAATTATAAAGAAAACTCTTTATAGCACCTCAAATATTCAGTTATTGGATATTTCGTGGAACAAATTAATTTATGTCCATTAATTTAATGGACTCATCTCACTGTGACGGCCCGCCCGCTAACGGCATATTTGTGTTATGCACACAACTGCCCTGTAATGATGAGTATTAATGTGATATCTCATGAGAAAGATACGGTTCTTGTGATTCGATTTATGCAAACCATTTCAAGATACAATAACAACAGCAGGTACAGTTAACGTCTCTGTCAAACAAGCACTCCAAAAATAGCTGATAAAATATCACCGATTATGATCCATAACGTCCCCCTCGTGCATGCTAGTCCAGCAAAAACGGTCTTGCTAGGTGGCTAAGGGTCCACTCGATCGAATCCAGTAAAATATTTAGTCCAAAACACATTAGTACGTCCATAAAGACCCACGGGGGGGGGGCTGTTGCATCATGTCAAATTAGCCAGCAGATATGATAACTCGCGATCATATTTCGGGCATAATTTCACTTTTCATGTAAACAGAGCGGAGATTTTCACCGCAAATTGGAGGCTGCATTCCGCCGGTTAGATTGACACCTCATTTGACCCAATAGGAGCTTCTGTAGCCTGGTCACAGTCTGGAACAGCCAACGAGAGTCCGCTTTGAAAGACAATGCCCACCTCTCTTCTTTGGGTAAAGCTCGAGCCAATCGCAACAGATCCTGTTCAAACTCAGGCTCCACATAGCCAATGAAATTACGAAGCCAAGGATATGCAGATTTATCAGATGGCCCTCTGGGAAAGTTTTCAAAACTGAAATTGAAACCGTGACTGAGGTACCTGAGACAGATTATCAAGACCAAAGTCTGGTTCATTAGAGTTTTCAACAATCTGTGAAAGTTGACAATGGTTAAATATGATATAGTTAACCATATATTGACATAAAGTTTGAATTTCGGACATGTAATATATGCATTTTGACATGGTGACTCGAGCCTCCAAATGCGTTTTTACGCGACCGCGTGGTTTGTCTAAAATATTAATTTTCTGTTGTGTTGTTATCAAATTATAACTTATACCAGGTACCATGACTCCATGCTCATGTATGATTGTGTTTCCGGGATCGTAAGTCCCAGCCATAGATAACTGCTGCCATCTGTTGGCCAAAACAAGTCCATGCAGAAATAAAATCCTTCTTTTTCAGTCTGCTGAAAACTGCATAGCTCAATGCTAGTAGCACTTACAGTGATTCTGACTGATTGTTTAGAAACTTCAGAGTGTTGCCGTTCAATAGAGACTAAAACCATACATGTACTCCCAATGGTTCAATAAGAGCTGTCAGTTTACTTTGGGTATGCGGTTGAAATTATGCAGGAGTGAAAATCTCTTCATTACCACAGTAAAGATTTTTCTGTATATGTGTGGTCAGAGATTTCCTCAACTTATATGCATTAGTCATTGTGTGGAATTATTGAGAAAATAGTTTTTATAGCACCTCAAATATTCAGAAATGTACCCGTTTCTTGGTACAAATGTATGACTTTTAATTTGAAATATCTCTTAATTAAGACAGTAAAAATGTCTAATTTTCAGTGTGGGTGGAGTCAACGATGTCCTCAACACATACATGTCAGTCATTGTCTGGACTTATTGAGAAAATACTTTTTATTACACTTCAAATATCTATTTATTAGATATTTTCTCAATTCAAATGTATGAGTTTTAATTTGAAATATCTCTTAATTAGGACAGTAAAAATGTCTAATATTCAGTATGGGTGGATTCAACGATGTCCTCAACACATACATATCAGTCATTGTCTGGAATTATTGAGAAAACTGTTTTTATTACACTTCAAATATTCGTTTATTAGATAGTTTCTCGATTCAAATGTATGACTTTTACTTTGAAATATCTCTTAATTGGTACAGTCAAAATGTCTTATTTTCTCTTTGGGTGGAGTCAACGATGCCTTGATTACATATACATCAGTCATTGTATGGAATTATTGAGAAAAATATTTTTGTAGCAGCTCAAATATTGTGATATTAGCCTTTTTTTGTCCTGAACATATATGCATTAGTCATTGTGGGTAATTATTGAGAAAAACATTTTCATAGCACCTTAAAAACTTCAGAAATTTGCCATTTGAAGATATAAATTCAGTTCAGAGTTTTTGCTTCGTAAAACATCTTAATTGACTCTCTGTCAGGTATTATTAATTTCCAGCAACCCTCAAATCAAAGAATAAATACACTTTACGCACAATTTAGGTGTATTTTCCCTTTAACTCACGAGATGATGGTATAATTTTTTATACTTATTGGAATATAATTCATTTAATCTCATTTCATTATGCAATATGTATACTTTGTTGGCATCTTATTTTGAAAACCAGATGTTCGTCTGTAGAAAACCGGAAGTTTTCACGTTAATCTTTCCGCTAACTGCAAAATCCTTCGCTCGCTCCCGTCCTGTGCCGTTTACCGTAAGTTTCAGCGTATAGGTGCACTACAATTTAAGTGTCTGCTGAGTTGACCACGGAGATCTGAGTGTCTGCTGACTTGACCGCAGTGAACAAGCAGACGTGCAGTTACTAAATGCATTGATGTCCGCACAGACAACCACAGCGGGTTGTGTACAGACAACCATATTGTCTGTTTGTTTATGTTTTGGTGACAGTGGTGACCAAACCCTCCATTCGTGTTTCTGGAGTGAAGAATCAGACTTTTTTTTTTTTTTTTTTTACTGTTGTAAACTCCAGGTGAATTCAAGTAGGCTACTTTTGAAGAATGGTGTACAAGATCTTAATCAAGATCTTTACTTTAATTCATTAAGTGCTGTTTTTTGTTCTCTGGGGTCCGTACAAATGAAACACCTGGCTGATACTGACTAAATTACTTAAAAAAGACTTTGAATAACATCAGTGTGCTTGATATCAAGTGCCTTCAACAGAACTAGATTTTAAAGTGGTCCTGCGTGGCTCCATTTTGAAATACCTGCGGTGTAGAGTGTTTATCTCCTTCTCATTCGCTGCGTAGAAGGTGAAAGAAAGGAACAGCTTGATCATGTGGAAATATTAATTTGTAGTGATGTATAATGTGAAAAATATATACATAAAGTAAAATACAAGGATTGATGCTGTACAATTAAAGCTGTCTATTTACAATTAATATTCACCTGATGGATTTTGAATATTGAATATTCAGTCTCACGTCAGCTCTGTTTTGGTCCCTACTAATTCCTGTGGGAAAATCTTCACCTGCTACTCACAAACCTTGCTGGCCATGTGGTGCTGGTCAGGTAGAGTACAGTGGCTTTAATAGAGCATTCTTCCTCAAGCTGGTAGCTGTGGCTGGTAATGAGGATGAGAGCCGAGTTGTGGGCCAGAAAACTAAGCAACAATCAGCCGAAAGACGATAAAAGACTCCAAAGAACTGAGGAGTACTGCATAGTTGTTTTATCTTTCTATGTGTGGTTTTTTTTTTCATTACACATAGTTATTTGATGAATTGGTCATATATTCATAATTGCAGCTTAAGTTTAAATTTCATGTAAGAAAGAAAATGTCATCACACACAGCTGTTGAGCCAAACATTCCTTTATAAAAGAAGTTCACATGTTTAGTGAGACACGTTAATATGATGAGTCTGCATTAAATGGCAATGCCCCGTCCCCAGTTTCTTTAAACGAAACATACCACAGCTGACGAATAGCCATTAATGTCTTATGTTTGAAACAAACTGTATTTTCAAAATGTAAATATAAATGTAAGCAAAAAAGCAATACTACCACTTAAGCAAATAAAACGGTGTTTAGTATTCGAACTTTGTGCAACTTCACTTCAAACTGTTATGAGTCACATTCACAAATAAGAAACATGCAAAATTTAACAAGTTAAATTAAATTCACCAAGAAAAGCAATAAGCAAACAAACAAACAAAAAAAAACTATTTTGGGTAGTGAACACCAGTTCAAATTTATTGAAGTGAGTGAAGCTTTTCTGCCGCCCTAAAAAACAGAAAATAATAATAACAAATAATGAATAAACTGTTAATTTGATCAAGATACCACACTCAACCCAATACCAACAGTAAAGCATACAGTAAGACAATGATAGTCAGACAACCACTAATGAGTCGAGGCTAATGTACATTTTTTAAAAACTATAGTTTCATACTAATGTGAATTAGCCTTCAGATAGTAATGTGCATTCAATTCAAATCCTAATCTAGATCGTCTCATTTACTAGAGTGTCAGAAAGGTTTGATAAAGACGCAACGCACTTTCATTATATCAAACTCGCACGTCTTCTTTTCCCCCATTCCACCTCATCTCATCTCATGAAGGTGCCCAAGATCCCTCTGGTAAGATAGTATACAAACACAACTCAATGCAAACAGCAGTTATCATGTATAGAGGATGTCACCATAAAACTGAATAGCAACAATACTTACTGCCGCCATCAGGACAATGGGATGATCGGGCAAGAATTCCGGCTTCTTCCTGGCCTCAGGACAATTTGCCAGACCAATTAAAAAATCTCTTGTGTAAGATATGCTGCCTATGAAAACATATACATATATAGATATACACATATTAAACATTACAAGAGTTCAAATCAGGAAAATCTAAAGAAAGACTAAATGTATTTTGCACCTTTATCTAGTGCGACGTTAAACTTAAGTTATAAAAACAGGATTAAGCACTATGTGAGCGGTGAACATGTCCTGTTACTGAACACGGCTAATTCAGTGTTTGATGCAATTTGCTGTTTTGTTTTATGCCCGTTGCACATTTCTTTTGTGTGAAACTTTATATGCCGACATCTTGGCTAGGACTATACATTGAATGAAAGTAGTTATTATTCTGTCAATGCATGGGCCATTTGCCAAGCCACTACTGTAACCAACAATAACCTCCCGGCTGAAAGTAAACACAGAAGCATTACAATAAAAGCCCCCAGTTTCCAGATGAGCAGAAACATATAGATCCCATTTGTCATTAAAACACTTTGTGTCTTACCTTTTTTCTGTTTGTAGAGGTTGACAATCTTGTAGAACTCCTCCATCCCAATTGTGGTCTATCAAGTTCAACGTTAGAATAGTTTTAGAAAACCTAAATTTGTCTAAATCGTAACTGCTTAACAAGCAGATGATGAGCTGAAATGATTTGTTGGTCGAAAGAAATTGAAAATGTTGCAACCCTAAAATATTGTATCTTACCTCTCGATACTCTTCTTCGATCAGTGCCTGGGCACATGTAGCAGCATTTATTTTGGGCTCTAAATGAAGTGATACAATTCTCATATAAGCACGCCATTATATGGACACAATACATTTAAAATCAACACCTTTGATATTCCGATACATTTAAACCAAGTGGTGCAGACTGCTTACCAATGCCAAAAGGGATGCAGCGGCGCAGGGGTCTGGCAGGCTCCAGATGTTTCTGGAAGATTCTTCTCCTGGATACCTCCATCCTGGTGTCAGTGATCTACTACACTCTGCAAGGGCTACACCGAGTAGTGCTGTAGTGACTACGGGCAGACACTTCAATATTTTAGAAATCAGTGCTTTGAAGAGTGGGGTTTGCAGACCATTAGGGGTCCTGTAACGTTATGGTGTTAACTCTTTAATTAAAGTCTGAGAATGTATTAGGATTACTATTTAGATGACAGATTTCAATTGATCTGACCAAATTCACTGGAGAAGTATGAAATAAAGTTTAAAAAACATAAAAATATATAAATTAGCTAGTGCATAAGTATCTTACGTAATTAATCTGAGTATCCATGAGCTATGCTAATTAGAAACAGGCTAATAATACCAGGAGTGTAGCTTAACGGCTAACGTGAGCAACTCAACACAATCGCTTCTAACTTGGCAATTAACCTCGTTTAAGTAAGGTTAATTGCAAATTAATTCAACATAAATTAATGAACACAAGTCAACGAGTCAACGTATATTTAACGGTCGTAACTGACGATTGTAATAACATTAAGGCCACAAAATAAGACTTTCAAAACGTTAACGTTGAGTGATGAGAAACGCAGCTCGTCAATGCTGCAGAAGTTTGAACTCTGCGAAACCATCATTCAAGTCAGCAACATGGGCCAAATAACTCGTACCGGAAAGTTACGAGTTCTCCACGAAGTCATTGCACTTTAAATAGAGGACATTTTAGGATAAATTGTTCACCTGTAGTTCTAAACAGCTCCTTCGGTGTGGTGGTCCGCCTGCAGTGATCACCTCACTGGTGTCACGGTAGTCAAGTTAAAACCAGTTTCCGGTTAAGGTTTTCCAAAATAAAATGTTTTTTTTAAATTTTTTTTTAGTACGTATAAACCCATTGTCAACATTGTCAGACAATAGAGGAAACACTTTGTGTATCAACCCGTATGAGCACACGGCACTTGTGGCTTGTTTTTGATATTGCACATTGTAAATGTGGTCGTCTTGGATAGGTTTTACCCATAGACTGTATATAAGGGTTGTCAGTGTGTTTGCAATGCTGCAGTAGGAAATATGAAACTACTCTAAAATTGTCAGAATATTCACCAACCGCAATGTATTACAATATCTATGTGTTTATAGTTACCTTTTGGATATGATGCTGAGATTCTTGCTGGAGTGAATATGGCACCTGTTCTTTCAGAGAATGCTAAAAGGTTGGGAATGAAACTCACATGCTGCACTATTATCTAATATACTGGATTATACATGAGTTGAATATATTGTTAGGTTTATGACATTTTCTTTGCTTTACACCCAAAGATAAATATGTATAGATGCATAACGATGCATGTGTGTTAAGTCCATCTAACTGGAAACACAAGAGGAAACAAATCTCCTTCAATCATGTTCATTTCTCTCTTATTAGAGGGAAATACGAGTTAAATATTTGAAATACACATTACAGATTATCGCCGTGATCCCTCATCCAAGTGATTATTGTATTTTACAAATCTTGCTATTGGACTGATGAGTTTTATAAAAAGGGCAAACACTGTACACCCCAACTTAATACTAATACAGAAAACCACTTAAGATTAGGTTTAATGGGATACCCTTAACAGCTGTCAGTAACTCATGGTCTTTGATTGGTGATTAACCAGAAAGTTATATACATACGGTTAACATGGTAAACAAAATTTAATTTAAATTGTATGTGACAGATCTATGAAGAAAAATTGACAATTCAAAAGGTATGCATTTTTTATGAAAACAATACTTTTCACACCAGCCACATAGAGTAAAATGCAATGCACATACATTGTTTGCAACACTATGTTGGAAGTTGAATCAAACAAAAACATGTCTCGACTGAGAAAATGAGAAAAACAAAAATCTAGTGCTTCACTTTAGGATGAGCATAGAATACAACACCCATTGTCAGACTATATTACCTAAACACAATTTAAAAAATGAAAAGAAAGCACTAAGAAAAAATATATAGCTAAACTCACAAAGCCATGCCGTACAAAAAGTCAAAATGAAGATTATATCAAAAAGAAAGAAAGGCCCATTTCTTCCCTTAAATCAACTCGGTATATGTCCAAACTACACTGCTAGGGCATGCAAGGTGCCATGAAAAGATGAGTCTCTTTCACACAATTAATAGCTGGATTTTTCTCGGACCTATGGGTCTTCCACTCAGTTCCTCAACTGCTGTTACCGCCTCTTGACGAGACTCAAATACTGCAGTCGCGGTGCCAGTCGATTTTCCAGTCTGGTCAAACTGGAGTGTGACTGATCCAGGCATGATGCGAAATCCGTAGCAAAAGTCATAGATTTCTTCACTTCTGATTTGAAATGGTAAGTTAAGCAGCTTAACGCAGGCGGTACCGTCAAAATGCTGCACTGGGGGAGCGAAGCTACCACCAACACCATTACCCCTGTCTTGTGGGGTGTAAGGGCCGACTGCATAGGGCTCATAACCACAGCCTCCATAGGCGTGAGCCTGTGTATTAGCCATTGGTATATTACCATCCGGAGGAATCCTAAAGCCAGGATTTTCTGTGTCACCGGGGCGGTAGGATGCCTCGCTTCCTCTGCCTGAGTATCGCTCTCCTCCTGGCAGCGGCTCTTGCACAACTGGCTCTTGCACCAGCGGCGGCTCAACACCCAACTGCCGCATCTGAGAACGTGAAATACATTTCAGTATGACTTCTGACCCAAGAAACCGGTGTCTATTGAGCGAGAGTGCACTCATAGCCTCCGCCTCGGACCCGAAGAGAACCAAAGCCTTCCCAACTCCAGCACCTTCATGGTCACGCAGCACAAACACCTTGTCCTCCGTGATATTAAACCAAAGGAAGAAGTCTATGATCTCAACTTTCCGCACATCAAATGGTAGGTTCCGCACAAACAGACACACTTTCTCCGAGTCATACGACGGCGACTGATCTTGACACATTTCAGAGTTTCCAGGAGGTCCGGCAGCCACGCTCTGAGATTCCAGAAGGGCGATCATTTTTTCTCTTGAGATTGGCCGTGTGAGGATCTGTCGGTTGAAAAACGGCCTTTTTTCAGGAGATAAGGCATCACAATAGTCACGCAGATTCTTGAACAGCACAAATGTGGATCTAGTTCTTCTCCCATCACTGCCAATTAAGTACAGGATCTGGTCATCCTCAAGCTTTGCAGTATGAAAAAGCCTTTTTATGTCTTCCTTTTCAGCGGTATACGACAGATTTTCTACCACAACGCAGTACTCGTCATCAGAGCCAGCACCACCAGGCCTCTGGAAAGCTGATTGTGGCCTCAGAGGAAGTGGATTTCTTTGCGGGCGAACAGGTGATCGGTCCCTTTCTAAGCCATCTGTAACCCGGCGCCAATCTTCTTTTGTTGTTGGAGTAATCTCCACATATCTGGAGCCAATGTATCCCCGGTCCCTCTTCATGGCTTCATTTGCATCCTCTCTTGTTGCAAATTTGACCAGACCTTTCCCATTTTTATAACCATTTCCATTTTTCAATAAGATAATTTCATCAATAAGTAAACCAAGGAAAAAGTCATGGACTTCCTTTTCGGTCACGGAGAAAGGCATTCCTTTCAGGAACACGTGCACAAAGTCATTATTGTCTGAAGCCTTCTGATGGCGGAGGGGAGAATAATCCGATCTGCTAGCTGATCTCCTGCCCACCTCGGGGTCCACGGATCTTCTAGCGCGTCTTGCGTTCTCCTCAAGTCGCGTCTTTGGATCGAGCTCCAAGTTTGATGTACTTTTTTCAAGCATGTTCTGCATCTCTGCTTTACTACTTAGTAGCAACGCAACAGGTGACCCCTTAATGCAACCTCCTGACCGCGTCATGGCTCTTCTTGCGTCTTCGTCCGAAGCAAAGATAATGAAAGCTTCATCTCGCTCACCACCAATTATATGCACCCCTCCATCTGGAATTTTGAGGCCAGTGAAGAACTTGCGAATATCCTCAGAACCTGCTGAGACCCTTAGTCCCTGTAAACGGATGACGACCTCCATGCTGAAGTACAAACAACAGCACCTGCGGACAGAGGGGTATAGAACAGCATTATTGCCAACAGAGCTTTTCTAGCTCAGCGTCCACTTCCTGGCATTCCAATATAATGCCACTGAACTGGAATAGCAATGTGAGACAAAAGACATCAGAGACAAAGGAAGCCAGTGCAATCAGTGTCCAGAACACTCCCTTTTACAACTGAGAAGGAATTCAAATGTGTGAGGTTGACATAACAATCGTACATATACCGTAGCTCAAGCGTGTTAAGTCCCAACCCACAATATAAACGCAGAGCATCTTCCCTTTATTTTCTAACTCAAACCCAAATTGTATTCACTTCATATTCAATTAAATTCCACGCGAAACTCCAACGCTATCACATTAAATCGTACTCATAGTTTTGAACACACCAATGGCACACCCTTCACCAGTACATTCAAAAATGCTTTCCAACGCTGGCTTAAGGAGGACAAAAGGCAACACAATCTATCTGGCACAATCATTTCCCTATTGTCCTAAATCAATCTCATCAAGTCCTATGAAATAACACCATAGGTTAAATATTCAAATTCATCATCTACAATTCAACTAAAGCGGTAAAATTCAAGTTGATCTGAGAACCACTACTCGCTCAACAGGTTTACAAATATTAATCTTGTAATTGAAATATGATTAAAGCCATTTTTAATAAAACAACATAGCTGATAAAGTTGTTGCCCGCGGAGGCTAATAGACTGAAAGTGTCACCTCACAGAATGAGACAGTCCACAGAGGACTCACAATGGCCACAATTTCCCATCTATGATCCTTCCCTATGATCCTAGTGCCAAATCCAGGTGTTGCGCAACACAATTGTAGGTCCGAGATTTTCAAGTTTACCACCAAGTAGTTCCACTTATTCAACCAACAAAATGATCAACACCACCAGGTATTTTTCCAATGTATTTGGAGGGTCCTTCAGAATGGGACAGCCTTGTTGATCCATCAAAAATGAGGTCTTGAATTGCAGACTTGAAACAATGCAGTTCTTCCAATTGGGACACAGCTACTACCCAGCAAGAAAAATATCTCCCGTTACCATTAGCAGAAACTACGATCCAACCAAAGCAGCTCCGAATCGGTCACTCAACAGAACCACAAGCCAAAAAACACCAAAATTGACAATTAAAACCATTAGTACATAATCTAATTCAGTAAATGTTACTATTAGTGTGCCAAAGCCCGCTATCAGTAGTTTTGCGTGGTCAAACTAAACAAATACCATCTGCTTATAGACCCTTTAACAGCCAATGTCATCAAAAATATGCCCCAGCCATACAGACGAGTTAGCAAGCTTTAAACATTGAATTAAAACTGTTAACAGCATCGAAATGTCTGGTTGTTGCATGTTGTGTTGTCAGAATAAATCGTTAGGTGCCAAAACAATCTGCCTTTGCAAATCACAGTAATTATGATTTTGCTGGTAAAACAATATTCTATCTTAGGTATAATTTACATGGCAAACACACATTCCTTCTGGGCAGTTACTAAACAAAAAATACCAGCTACAAGGGACGCACAACTCAATTTTACTGCACATTTGCAGGAGAGTGCTGAAATCGGGATGTCTTGTCACTCAAAAAGTTCATCGACTGCATCGCAACCTTGCTCTAACAAAATATCCCATTCATGGCAGAACAAACAATGTTGCGGATTGCATTGTTTGGCAACCTACACCACTGCTGCAGTCTGTTCATTCCAGAGGCTGGCGTTCTGGTTAATCCAATAGCGGCAGTGTCCCCTCTTGTTGCCCTTCCCCTGTCATGCTCTGCTCGCCTCAGCAACATTTCCTCTTCTGTATACTCTGGCACAAACGGAGAGAGTATAGTCTAGCAGTTGTTCAGCAGAAAGAGTAATCGTCTTCTCTTCAGAGCTCCTATTCATTACAGTCGGGAGCGTTTTATGTGCTGTCACGTAGCCAAAACTGTCCTCCACCCAGAAGTGAACATATTTTTACTACATTCATGTTTCATAATCCTTTGTGTGCCCTGTGGAATTTTGAAAACTCATAGCTTATGAAGGCAATGCTATGATTCACAAACTACTCAGCAATGTGCCCATGGACGGTTGGGAAAATGCATTTTTAAATTGCATGAATAAATAAAATAAAATTCATAGTAATTGTGAAAAAAAAATCCTGTGATCTGTTTAACCGGGTGTGCAACGGATGCTCCACCCTATTAGAACACGAAAGACACAGTGGAAGTGGAAGTTTCTTCTCAGATACAACCTGCCACAAGGAAAACACTTTTCAGGTAATTAAATGAAGGTAAACAGTGCAGAACAGAACTGTCGCTTGGCTAGCGCTGCCCCCACGCTTTCTTAGAGGCAGTGAAGACCTTTAACCTGATGGCGTGTAGTTCGTGTACATATTATGAAATATAATCCTGCCAGCACCACTGATACAGCAAGCTGTTTTGTTACATACCTCTGAACCAAAGCCCACAATAAATTAAATATCTAATTAGATGAAATAACGGGCTGTAGCTCACTCTAACTCTTCGCCATCAGGTTCAACACCATAATGCAGCAGAGAGATGACAAAAGAGTGTTTGAAATGCACCCTGAATGACACAAAACCAACTGATATCACTTCTTGTTGTCGCAATACGAACTTTTAATAAACACCGCAACTCGCCACTGGCATCGAAACTTCCGGGTTACTAGCGTTAGCTCTCATAGGCTAACGTTAGCTCTCATCGACTAGCGTTAGCTCTCATAGGCTAACGTTAGCTCTCATCGACTAGCGTTAGCTCTCATCGACTAGCGTTAGCTCTCATAGGCTAACGTAGGCTAACGTTAGCTCTCATAGACTAGCGTTAGCCTATTGGTAGTTCGTGTCACACGTTAGCATTACTTGCTAAGAAAAACGAGCAATGGCCGGTTAGAAAATTAAGTGCGTGACATGTAGCAGCCTAAATTGGCCACCCGCGTAGTAAAATCAAATATGAAGGCATTAACTTAAACATTCACTGAATGAAAGTACCGCCATAGCTTAGTTAACGAGGTCAAACAGTAACGTTACGACACCAAACACACATAACGTTAGCTAGCTTGACGCCATTAATACCGCCAGCATTTCATCCCAGACGCGTTACTTCACTAAACATACATCATCTGAAACTACTGTAATGTTGTGTGCAATTACACGAGGCTAAATGTGTCAGTTAACAAGGAAGGTGGTGTTTACGTCCTTCCCTTTCAAACAAAGCTCAACGAAATGTCGATGTAGCTAACGATAGCTATTGAAGCTAGCTAGGCCGCTAGCTTTAGCGTTTACTTATTTGAAGGCCAACAACGATCTGAGAATGCAATCTTTATAAATAACACTAGAGAATAGCTTGCTACCTAACCAACGACAAAAACTTACACAAACGACAAGCACAGAGACTGGTGCAAAAGCGAGATAGCGATAGGTTTTCAGATCAGTCAAGTTTGGTTTCGTCTTGCTCTCTTCTCAGAGTGCATGAGGGGGAAATGTTCTCCTTCCTCCTGCAGCCCTGTAACCCAACGTGAGAGATGGATGCCGCCACCTACTGTATCGGGGGAAGTAATATTATGACTTTATGAAGAATGTCTGTATAGGCTATTAAAGTATGGCTATATAAATATACATGTAAATATGTACACCTGCCTGCTACTGCGTGTACCCGACCTTTCCTGTCATTCGGTGTGTCTTTTTATACAAGAGGCTACTGCCCATCAACATGTTTTCCACTGTTTCCTTGCAGTAACAAGTCCCACACTCCTCACAATACATCATGTTTCATTGGGTCCTGTTTGTCCTAGTCGAGTTAATCCTGGTTAATCCTACATTTACCTTATTCCTCACTCTGACTATATTTAGAGATATACAGAGAACCTTCTCATGAATAGCTGTAAGACAAAGTAAGAATTGCTCGAGTGTTGTGTGGTAAGCACAAAATAAATATCAAAATTATTTCATTTTGTCAGACCATGAAATTGCCTGTGGGAAATTGAGAGTTGTATATGTGTATATTATTTTATTAGGTCGAAATTCAGACCAAATGAAGTTGTTTGTATTTTGAGAAATGTATTTTTGTGACACCTTACCTGACGTTTGTTCTCAAACAAGGTAGTGTAATGCTTTCAAATGTATATGTAGGCTATATATATCCATATCCATATCTATATATATATTATATTCTGTAGGTCGCTGTAGTTGTTGATGGCTCGGACCCGCAGTGCGCTCCAGGGTTCGCGCCAGCTACGTTCCCACATCATGTGATGTTGTTGAACACAGCAGCCACAGCCAAACAGACACTGTGAGGATCAGTGTGTGGAATAAAAAGGTATTTCAGAGATATGTTCACAATCCTTCAAGCAGATCGGGTTGTCCCTCTGATTGTAATTAACCGGTTGACCCAAAATTAAGACACTTTCTGGGGGCTTGGTTTTCTTGGAGATTCGTGTTCTTGATCTCTCAACTCTTGGCTAACTATGTGAGCTCATGCTAGCTCGATTAGCTCGATAGTACCAGCATTCACCCAGGCTGAAGCTGGGGCGCAGCAGCGGAGCCTCTAGCCGACGATCGTTTCCGACAGCTCCGTATGGATTTGACGTCGGCATACATTGTTGCTTGATGTTTTTCAAAGGGTCGATTACCGGTGATTTCGACGATGGGGGAACCTTGTGACCTTAAGCACTTCGTCAAGTAAGTACCTCGTGAACGGCTGTTTTACTTATTATTAGGTTGTGGTTTAGCCATGTTACTCCACACAAGTCGGACAAAACAACACTAGCTAGCATGCCAGTAAAGCCGGGTGCAGAGACTCGAGGGTCCATCATATCCTTAAATGGAAACAAATAATCAAACATTTCTTGCTTGTTTATTCAATTAAAACGTAACGAGCTCTCCACGAGACATGTCGTACTCTGACTTTACACCTTCGCCACCGATCATAGATCGATAGTAAAAACACAAGTTAACAACAGTAACGTTAGCGTAGTGGCCGCTAGCACAGTAGCCTAACCTAGCTTGCATTAGCTGCTAATGCTAGTGGAGTTCCGTCTTCGTTTTATAGAAACAAATTTGGTTACCTCTGCTGTGCAGCCGAAAAACCTGCCAATAGTCACACGGATTGCATTCCCAAGCATGTACTTGGTTGCTAGTCAGCGTTAACAACACGAAGTATACATTAAGCACAACACGAGCTAACGCTATCTTTAAAGATGACACTAGAGCTCTCTGATCGTGTTAGCTCACACACGGTAGCTTTAGCTGGTTCTGATATTTATTCTAAATCAGCGTATCAGTCGAACAGCCAACTTCATGCCATCTTACCTGCCAGATTACTACTTGTATATACGTATGACTAGTTAGGAAATTTTTATATAATAGTACACTGTATTGCTAGGTTTGCTACACGTCCTCTTAACGTTACTCGCTTTCATAGTGGGTAGAACTATCCTTTTTAAAGGCCATATTTAGGCTGGATCACATTCTCCCGCACAGGCCATGCTTTAGTTAGTTTCTTAATTAGCCTCGAAACAGTCACCGTTTGTTTTCACAAAAGGGTCGATGTGTTCCTACACATAAGGCTTCATTGTACACACAGCCTTTGTTTTCTGTAGGCCATTGGCTTGCGCTTGCTTTAACGTTACATGTCTGATAATGAGATGCGTGTTCTGAGCTCACCCTGCATCCATGTTGTTCATCTTCGACCATGATAGTACTACTGAGCTTTACTATTGTTGTTACTTTGTTGTAACCAAAGCGAGATATGAGGAGACTAGCAGCCCACCAAGCTGAGAAAAGGAGGGATCCTTGTTCTATAGATTACATCATTTTAAACGGTGAAACTGGTAATGTTATCTCTGCCACATTGCAACGAAAGATACCAGGAGTCTCAGGGAGGGAAGCCTGTGTTTTGCACCAGCCACATTCACTACTAAGCGCTGTATTTAATATGTCAACCTCTATTTGACGATGCCAAAATTACAAAAGTTCCTGACAGAGTAGCTGTAAAGTGTTGTGGACAAACCAGACTCGGTTCATTGAAACCCTATCTTTCTTTTGTCAGGTGTGGCGTCACTTTGGAGGGCTCATTTCTCTGATTTGGATTATTCTTGGCCAGCAGCCTCTTCAGGCCTACTAATCCTAGACGAGTTTCTCAATGGACACCCTGCTCAAATCAGAGATCAGGTATTAGACAGCACAAAATGCAACTCACAGTGTATGTCTTGTTCAGAGTAGTTTGATATGAAATCTAAAATAATTTTAGTGTAGTTTCCAAACTGTATTTTGTTTTGGATGCGGTCTGTGCAGATACTTTTGGCATTTATTTACCATTAAAACATCTTCATATCAAGGTCATCCCAAGCCCACGGCATTGTCATTATTTATGCACTGGTAGTTATTTTACAATTAAAACTACAAGACTATCCTCTGCAAAATGTCAGTTGTTTTCATCTGCTTTTATCCATTCATCAGGGCCAGTGACGGTAGTATACAATGATACACCTCTAAATAAAATGTGGAGATATGTAATTTATATTTCTCACATGAACAAAATTACATCATTAGTAGGAATGGAGACATTGTTTGGAGAAGTTATTCCAGGTTCTGTGATCAGGTATCAGTTTAAGTCACAATATACAAACAATGGATGACCGCAATGCTTGCTATTGGATGTTATGTTCATGTTTATTAGCTTGAAATATGAAACTGTTCTTCATTATGAATGTGGTGTAAAATACAGCTGCAACATCAAGCCTAGTAGGCCCAGTTCATTAATCATTTGACTGTGATCTGCTTGTTACAGAATGTCACAGCAGATGTGTCTCATTTTGAAGGTCACAGAGAGAAAAGGAAAAAATAAAATCTCAAAAGATTAAATGACCCAATTGTTACTCAGCGCCCACATTGAGCCTACCCTAAGGAAAACACACACACTATAATAGGGCAAACGGAGGAGCAGAAACCCAACTATTCATGTTTCTTACATGTTAAATACTGGCATCTCTGTGTTTGTGAATTATTGGCCTCTGCGTTTTTTTATTTATTTGCTGCACCAGTTGCAAGCCCAGCAATGTAGACAATTTAAGCGTTATGATGTGAGTTGGAGGTTGTTTCCAGGCTTGTTTTAGGGACCCTCACAGATATTCTACGTATAGCCTACTATATCTGCTGTTTACAGTTGTTCAGGGCTTTAGTCCGGTCCCCTTGAGGTCTGCTTACTAAGGTTCAGGCTTAGGAGTACACCACAGTAGTTTGAAAATTGATAGAACAGTAAGATAAGATAAACTTTATTGTCCCGAAGGAAATTTGTCTTGGAAACATACAGTAATTATGACAGAATCACAAAAAATGGTTAAATTCATGTTCATCCCATCAATACAGAGTTTCTCAGTGTTCTCTAATGAGTGACGAAACACAAACTATTTTCTGTCAGAAAACCTCATGGACCTGACAATACAAAGATTAAAGACGGACTGTCCTGCCTGTCATACAAACAATAATTATTTCATATGGCCTTTACTTTTTAAAATAAAAGAATGTATTTCCATACAGGTATTGCAGCACTCCCAAGTCATAGCAGCCATAGTGGATTTGTGAAGAAATAGTAATGCTTCATTTTTGGTCAGGGACACTTAGCCTAACCTCTGCTTTACTTTTTTCCAATCGTTCAATCGGTGCACCTAACTATTTCATTTTGTTGCAATAATGCATTTCACCGTTTCCTTTTGTGTCAGTTCCCACACACCTTGCTAATCTCTCATCATATTATGTAAATTGAAAATGGCAGTTTTTTAATCGCATACGCGAGCACTGCATCATTTTTCTGTTACACCAAAGTCATTCTCCTGTTATTGAGCAAGGCGTTGGCTTTAGAACCGGAGTTGGTTCTTCAATTAATATTTTATTTTAAACTGAGCTGTTTGATCTTCCTGTCCCCAGAACAAGCAGTTTAGCACTTGGCCTCAAGTTTTGGTGGATGCAATATTCAAGAACATCAACACCATAGAGTACTTATTCACCGTTGAGGAAGAAACCCTATAATAGTGATACATCATGGAGAATGCTGTTCAGACAACCAAAAACATTCATAATGAAAAAAGCACCGTTATTCTTCTGTTTACATAAATAACAAATTTTAGATTTTATTTTTAATTTTATTGAAGTTACAATGACCATGGCCTTTTTCAGCTATTTCATTGGATTGTTCTCCATGTGAAGTTTGGGATAATCAAGTATATTATTTATTTCCTGTCACTCTCCATAATTTATAAATGCCAAAAGTGGTTAAGATGAAATAAAAAAAGGATTCTCTATATGTCTCTTTTCTGGTGTGTGTGTGTGTGTGTATATATATATATATATATATATTTAAAAACAAAAACAGAGTTGCAGGTGGTGGAAAGAGAAGACCTAACACGGTTCTAGATTGGGCAGCAGGTGTTGCGCTTCGAAGTCATTAACCATTAGAACAAAGACAATATGTTCAAGGACATGT